ACTGAGTCACTGTTTTGGGTAAACACATCATGTCACTCCTCATCGGAAATATTCAGTGTAGGCACAGGGTAGGAGTGAAACAGAGGTGCATTTGGATTTAATGGAGCATGCGGCACAGACAGTTTGACAAAAGCAGGTGAAAGCTTTATTAGGCTCACCTCAGGTTTCAGAAATGGAACATTTACGTTTTGATTGTGACAGAAAAACTAACAAAATACATTCAGAGTGGTGGACATGAACTGAACAAAAGAGGATGGGATGGCATCTCTTAATTTAAAGTAAACATCTCTACAGCACACAATCCTGGTACTCTAAATAAAAGCCCCTTTTTAATGTACATTTGTATTTGTTCTGTTGTTTAACAAAGACAAACAGAATGTTGTTTACTACTTCTTAGTTTCTTTTAATATTGACTAAACTTGCTAAACAATGCTTCTTGACAATAAATCTTATAACATTGGAAAGCCTGGTAGTTTCTCTTTTAAATGGTGCCACATTTGTAAGGAACGTGCATTTATGGGATTGCAGAAATAATATTTCTCGGCAATACATTCTGTACCATTAAAAAGCCATATTATTTTTTCTTAAATGGTGCTGAAAATGATGCTAAAGTGAAAGCCTGAACTACGCACGGGAAGACAGTTCTCAGATCTAAAGTCTTTATTTTCAGACGTTAAGTTGACCATTTCACTCCGATCCTTCTGCCGGCTCTGGAGACCTGAACACAGTGGCCCAAAATTAAGTGTTCTTATAATGTTTATAGAAAAACCTGGTCACACCCCAGATATGATGTCATAGTAAACAAGGAAGTGAGTTCTAGAAACGAACACTAAAACTTTTGACTTGTTCATTCTCTTACTACTGTATATAAAGTAAATGATTTAAATTAGTGTGTCTAAAATTCAGTTTATCGACCACAAAATATGAAACAAAATCCTYTCTTGACACGATGTCAGTGTCACAATTGCATGTGGAAGAACCATACACAGCCACAACAGCCTAGCGCCTCCTACTTGAGGGCTCGACACACGGGAGGCGACGTCGCTTTCGCGCTCGTACACGTAGACGTGCACACGCGAGCTTGCGACGCGACATRTGAAAGYTGAAAAATGTTCAACTTTTGTCGCTGTCGCTTAGCGTACAGCTAATCAGCAAGGGTTTCATTGACTGACCAATGAGAGGAGAGTATGGTACGCTAACACTTCAAGTGATTACTAAAAAGCTTTGTGGGAATTTATTGGCACCAGGGTGGAGTTATCTGGTAAGTTTTTCCTCATAAAATTGTATCTTGGTGTGTGTTTGTTTTTCAATATCTTTTGCATCACAAGATTTGTGTAGTTTACACGTCCGTAATGCACACCCCACTTTTTTGTGAACCACCAATAACCTTTACAAGTGGCAGTAGAAGAACCAATCAAATTTTGTGAAGACAAGCGATCTGAGAGCGCGATTCGCAATGCTGCGATCGCTATCGCGTCCCGTGTGTCGGGTTTCACCCTGGCTGCGATGACAGCCGTTAATCGCTGTAGTTTGTCGCTCCCCGTGTGTCGAGCCCTTTATGCTGCTCATCAGCTTGATGGCTGATTCTCAATCTGCATTAAATCAGCCAGTCTGGTTGTTTTTGTCACTCTGGAGCGAACATACATCAAGCTGATCCCATACGTCACAGGGGTTAGGGTCAAGATTGATCGCAGATCATTCCATCCTCTCCACTCCCCAATTTAGGAGGTAGTCTTTGATGAAACTTGGACTTGGACCAGCGTTGCCTTTTGGAGGACTAAAACTGTGGTGATATGGAAATGCCACTGGTTGCTCACAGGTGCTGACAATCAGCTGTCTGATTACCAGCACCTGTGAGCAAATCAGAAGCTCCAAACAAGAGTCGAAAGCAGAATAAGCTGTTGGACATTGACTGAGAAGACTTTTTTCATGTTTTCATTTTTTTCTTGTTTGTCGCTCTAGCACCGAGCTAATACATACAAGGCAATGTAGCGTCAGTGCTAGCACAAAGGCTAACAGGCTAAACTGGGGYTCTTCTTCCATGAAGCAGCTCTGTTGTCCTCCATCYATATTTTCAGTTACAGGCTGAGTCDTTTCTACCTTCTCCTCTCTGTCAACVCTCTCTGGTTTCATTTAAAAGAGTCGATCATCAGATATTGTCCAAGATTAACCTTCAGGGTTGATATAGCTCGCTAGCAGCCTCGCACCGATGACCTATCCACGTCATCATTTATCCAGAATGCTTTGTGTGTAAATAAAATGGCCCCGTCTGTGTACTATATTTTTAAACTTTTAGTTTAAAAATTATAAAAACTAAACAGCCTACAGTATTTTTATAGTCTTTATTTTACAGTTAAAATATATGTTTATTAAATAAAGTTTAATGTTACAACTAATCGGGGATCCCTTTAAGAAATAAATAATCACATTTTCTAACTGTATAGGACATACTGTATTGTCAAGAAGCCTCATTACAATAATGAAATAATCAATTAAACTCAAATTTCTTTTTTTTATGATGTACAGTATTTATCAAAGCGTAGACACCCGCTTTTTCCCCCCTTTGCTTTTAGATACTTTGACAAACTGAATTTCCCTCAGCCCTCGTACCTGTCTGATTTCACAAAGGCCTTATTATTACTGCTTTGAAAGGAACCCACCCTTCATATTTAAACAAGGCTGCTGCAGGTTTGTGCGGCACACTGTGAACCCGCCTCTGACGCAGATTGGTCTTTATTGTCTCTCTGAAAGCATAATGAGATCTCTGGACTGGGATCACAGAGAACGGTGCCAAGCGAAAAACGCGACGCAGGGAAACGGTTCTCCCCCACCCCTTTGTGATTTATTTTAATGAATGTGTTACGAACAAAAGAGAATTGCCTCATAGTCCTGTGTACACATGTGAGTCAGCGCTCGTAAAAGATACAAGAAAGCAAACAGCGTGAGGTTGTTCCACGGTTTAGACGCGTGTTACTAACACACGAACGCTTACGCAATAAAACCCTTCAACTTAATTAAACTGATTTTGTTTAGACACCTAATGAAAATGGACTACCCCATTTGGGTTTAATAAAAGTGCAAACTTATTCAATGAACTATAAAACTAACAAACTGAGTGCAACTCTAACAAAGATCAAATTCTTTGTTTGGTTACCTTTTTAGACACTGGTCTAAAGTTAATATGTAATAAAGAAGGGCAATTTTAACCTGCAATAGACAGCCATCTATTTTTAACATTTTATCTGCTCTTCTTAAATAATCCTAATTTGGACTATCCTGAAACAAAGAGGATTTGACTTTTAAAATACAGCCATATTAATCAGTTTCAGGTATTTATTGATCCACTAAATATGTCTAGTTGTCATTTATGACAAAAATTCAAAAATCATAACAATCATTAACCATCATGAGTAAAATTGTTGCTACAGAACAATAACATGGCTGTATTGCAAAAAACTGTCAAGTAGTCAAGTGAAAACATTAATAAAATCAGTGTAAAGTTTTTTTATTTAATTAAATTTTTTATTTTATTATTTTGGTTTATTTGTTTGTTTTATTATATTTTATGGGCCTTTGGTCTGGGTGGTAAGATGTTTGGTCCTGTTTTTATGGAGGAGTTTGTACGATGTAGTTCCACAAGGAGGATCAAAGGAGTCACAGAGGAGAAACACCAAGGATTGTTACAAGGGCCTCCATGGAATGAGGAACTGGTTAGAATGAAGGACACAGTTAGACCAATTTTACATAGACTAGATCCTTAAAGAGCTAGACACAGTACCAAAATATTAAACAAAGTTCCAGTGAAGTCTGGTTCAACCAGCAGAATGGAGACAGCTGTGGAAAATAGGGTCCATCTCACCATTCAGGAGCTGCAGAGTTAGACACCCATCCTACAAAAAATCATTGCCTGTTATTACAGCTGATTAATTTCAAGAAGGCCACCTCTGCTGACCTTTTACACCCAAAAATTGTTATAACTCAGTGAATTTTGTAGATTTTGAGCTGAATCCCAGGGTGCCCAGTAGCTGAGACTGATCACTAATGCTTATTTTCAGCTTGATCAGATCACTTTTGGATTTGTTTAAAACCGTGACATGGAAGAGAGCAGATCATGTGCATTCATTTAAGGAATGTAAATTTTAATATACAATGAGACAAGAAACCATTTAATATTGTAATGACATCACTCAAGGCAGGGGTGCCAAACTCAGTTACACGGAGGACAAAAGTCAAAACTTGGTCTAACCCAATGGCCCAATCTCTGCCTATAGTTTTTTTTGTAAATATTTTGTCTTTAAATGTTATGTAACAAGTTATTATTACAAAAAAAAAACAGTTTCCCGTATTCAGTTTTTGTAGTTTTGAACATATTTAAACTAGCAAATAAAGAAAAACGAATAAACTTAGAAAGACACATCATTTATTTGTTATGCTTTACACTATTAACAACACAATCCAGCAAATCAGTTAAAATCCTCATTAAAAATGCAATTGTTTGACTTCAAAAGAAGACAATATAGAAAAGATCATCCAAGTCATAAGAAGACACTAAATACAGTGACAAAGATAAATGACAAAGCATTTTATAAGATACATTTGGGGCCGGATAAAATGTTAAGGAAGACCACATTTGGCCCGCAGACCTTAAGGTTGACACTTGTGACTCAAGGGCATCAGTTTGAGTGTTTCAGTATTGAGCAAAAATAAATAAATAAATAAATTATATATATATATA